GTCCGATGTCAATATGCGCTGGAATTTGGTTTTTTTGATAGGTTAAAACCTCATAGCTGAAATTATAACCATGAAATAATAATTAAGATTCATTTTGCAAATACAATTCGCTATCATTGTCCCAATCCGCCTCTAGTCCTCATAATCGAAGAGCAGATTTTAATATCAGTTCTCGCTTAAAAGTGCTCTTTCGTATCAGATCACACACCTCAGGCAGTAGTGAACAAAGTTTTAAATCATTTAAGTATAGAATTATGGAGTGTTTTTCACATCAAGAACATTTATCAGAATTTGTGTATGGTCAATCTTAGTTACTCGTCAAGGTCTGTTTCTGATATTAGGTTGGAATGCAAAACTGTCCCGATAAATATTCACATCAAAAATCCCAAACCAGGCTTAATTCGTAAATGGCAGTATTCTGAATCATTCTAATTTTTTAATCAATGTCCTAGTAATATTTTAACTTTACAATGGATTCCTTATCTTCTTTTCTCTATCATTTATAAATTATGTTCAGCAAATCCAACTTGATATTTACTACTGGTTTGCAAACAATCCGAAATAATACTCAGCAGAATCGCACAAATTTTGGATTTTAAGGACTCATAAAACTTTAAAGGCTTCCTCTAGGCAACTATTCTCCTCAATAGCTTTCGCTCAGGTAAGGCTTTTGGCCTCATCTGGTGAAAATGTTCGCACCTTTTGTAAAATTCCTTCGAATTCGCCTTGATTTATCATTGTAGATGGTATTTTTTTAATATACCGGATTCAAGGTCTTAGTTTTTTTGCCCGCGTTTACTGCTATTTCCTACATAAGCTACAATATGTTGAAAATTACATTCTCATTCATTAAGCCTAATTTATTTATATAAAATTCCTTAAAAGTCTGCTCCAATTTACGTTAACTAATCGCTTAGTTGCAAGGCTCTTATTTTTGTCTAATATCTTACAACTTAAATGACTGGTGGATTCGAATTCATTTATGCTTGGGTTTTATTTCATAATTTTCCGATTTATTCCTATCTTGAAATGTAATCCTTTTATGCAAAAGAATTACTTATACTTTTCTACACTTTGAAAGCTTAAATATTTCAAGTAGCAAGGCTTCTTTTGTGTGGGAAACTAATTAATTTATCGGCAGCAGCACTTTTCTATACATATACGTACGTAACTCTGAAATAATATTTATAATGGAGCAAACTTAAGCTATCCATGGTTTTACGAGTGCACACTTAAGATAATTTCTTTTGGTTAAGGGTGCTATTACTTATTCAAATCTATTTATTCAGATATCTGACTCATAGAATTTTACAAAATCGTGTTTTTCTGTTGAATCTGTGTTCACGGTTCTAAGGAGATAAAAGCATATTAATTTGGAATTTCTCTGCGGGCAGTAAATTATGATGTGCTAAATGGAAATTTAAAGGAATATTCTCTGCGTCTGTGGCTTCTATTATAAGCAGTAATCCTAATGAATTTTGAACCGTTCAAATAATTGTAGAGTTATTTTAACATAAATCCTTAATAGATCTTATTTAATATGGATAAAATCTCTCGGAAATGCGAGAATGAAACAGCTCAATAAGATTCGTATTAAGATGCCCACTTGATATAACCCACTATTTACCCAACCATAATTCGACTATCAAATTACTATTTAAAACAACATATGTGCCATCTTTTAATACGTAACAGAATTTTCCGGAAAGCAAGGCCAACTTGTGCCACTCCGCCATCGTGTAACTCTTCTCATCTAAGCTAATTAAGTGGTAAAATTCAACCCATAGTAACACTGGACTTTCACCCTGGCGCGAGCGCGCAGATCCTACTCACTTTTTAAATATTTCTGATTAATTGATTTTACCTAGTTGCAAACTCCTAGTGCTTTTTTCCCTTAAACTCTCATCTTAGCTAATCCCTTTTTCATTAGCGTTTATTTATTTTTGCCTTAGGAGACAAGCTGTTCAATTGCGTGCAAAAACTCTGGTTGCTCGAACTCAGTCGTTTTTGATCGTCGGTGGCACGGCCAATATTGCTCTGCTGATTGCATCGTGAAGAATTGCCGCTTTGTTTTTGAGAATCGCTCAAAAGTTCGCAATCCAGCTGACAAGACAGAGGTTATCGAGATTTCTTCTCCGGAGTACAGTACACGACTCGAAAATCCTAACCCAATTCCTACAGCCGAATTTGTGGCCTGTGATGTCACTAAAGCAGGACATCTAAACTCCATCTCTATCGAAATTGACGATAAAGAGCCCCAATGTTCCCAGAATTGCAGTTATAGCTCACATGTTGATGTTGTAAATATTCCGCATAGTGAGAGTAAAAATGAATTCATTTTAACACAGGTAACTCTTATACTCCTAGTAAAAGAAAGCTAACGCATTTAAAATCGGAATTTCAAAATTCTTTAGTATATCTCAAGAGCCATGCTTAAAGTACAAACATTTTTCAGAACTCCGTTTCTATAGGAAATTTTACTTTCATTATATTACCGAGAAAGCTGATGCTGCGTATAAATACTTTATTCATCCTGATACATTGCAATAATTCAGTTTATGTCCTAAATATGCACATATGATGGGAAAAATTCCTTATTAAGTCTATTGGCGGTGCTCTAACGTCAATTTTCTGAGTTTTCCTATTTACGTATAGTTAGGTTATTACTTCCTATGGGCTGGGTTCGTCTAGGGCGAGTCGTTCCTGCTTTCTTTTAGCTATATGGTTTGGAATTTTAATTTGGGGTTATGGAGTTGTCAGAGGAGTCCAACTTCTAATAATGTCGGCGTATTTAGCCTACTCTGTACAAACACCTCACAAGCCGTCTGCTTTTACGCAGCCTCATCAGGATTTCGGGTCCGGTTCAGGGTTCACATGGATTCCATTCATAGCTTCTCTACAAGGTATAGGCACTAAATTAATTGTCATGCAGATGATTTTCGTTCATACTGCTACGATGAAGTTCTAGGAGCTGCCTTATAAAGTTTATG